TCCCCAGTAAAGCCATTTCTGCCCCCGAAGTGCGAAGCAGAATTGCTCATGATTGCTGTCAGAATTGCAGCTGATTTACTTGATAATGAGATTATGCCCTTCCATAGCCTCCTCCACAGCCATCTTGTGTGTAATTCATATTGTTCTTCACCGAGTGTTTCAAAATAGCGATAGATTTCATGCAAACAATCCGATAAAATGCTGGTTCCAAGAAGAATAGATTTAGTTTAGATTTTTAACTGTAAAATACATGTATGCATCATCATAGCATGAATATTTCTTCTCAGATTTATTCTGTATCGTATGAAAAAGCAACGCAATTTTGAGAATGCGGAAATGGTGTCTCATAGAACCTAAAATGATTTAAATGCAACATTTCTGATCAAAATCACATTGGGATTTTCTCCCCCCCCCCCAGCATCACAGAGAGGAAATAAGGTGACACTGACCCCTCCTCCTATTTTTCAAGGTGACTTTTCCAATTTATTTAATTCCGAGTAGAAATGTCTGGAAAAATTCATGTCTTCGATGTACTTTATAATCTTCGGAATTCTGCTAGATTTCACCCCCAAAATGTTTGAAATCGCAATTCAGGGACCCTAGATTTCAAAATTGGACCCTCCTAGACTGACCCCCCGGACCCTCCTAGACGGTCTCACGCCTTTGGCGTGAGGTTCGCCACCCCAAAAAAATTAAGGTCTGGCTACGTCACTGGTTATAGCTGTACGATTATAGCTACAAAGAGTTGTATAAATTAAAGTTTTACAAAATCTCTCTTCAGACTCGCGCGTTCGCCAAACCTCGACGGCTCATATTTTTTGTTCTGCCTTCCTGTTTGCCCCCAGTGAAAATTCCTTAAAAAAGGCACTGTTATAACCGAAAAAAAAGTTTAATTAAAACAAAATTCAAATTTTTAGAATAAAGTGCAGTATTTCGTGGGGTACGCGCGCGATGTTTAAATCCCACGCGGGATTTAAATCCCTTAGCAACCCAATATCCCTCTTAGCAATAGTGTTATTGACTGCTCTTTTGCCACTTTTGAAAAGTCTATAATGGGTTTAAACATCAAACATTTTGAAGAGGATAACATCGACTCGAAATTCATCTGCTCTCACTGTCATGGCGTTTTTGTCGATCCAGTTTTGTGCAAATGTGGACATATTTTGTGTTGGGTCTGTTTTAAACGGCGAAAGAAACGCAAGTCCAATTGTCTTGTGTGTTCAGAGGAGCTGGCTGTCTCATCCGAGGCTTTGGAGGGCGAATGGTTGAAAGAGTTGGGTGAATTAAAGGTTATTTGCCCGAAAGGCTGCAAGAAGGTTGCTGCTTTGGAGTTTTTGACGCAGCATTTTGACAACGAATGTGAATTTGCTCTCACTTCCTGCACAAGTAAGGGTTGTAATAAGAAAGTACGACGTACAGATTTGCCAGATCATTTAACAAAATGTGATTTTCGCCTGGTTTCATGTTGCTGTGGTGTCCAGATAAGATTTCTGGAGCTGCGTCAGCATCAGCTTGCGCAGAAATGTGTTGTGAAACAAAATCTTCAAGTGATTGTACGAAAAAGACGAGAAATGGAGCAGGCGATCAGGGATCACAGGTTGGCCATGCAGAAACAGTGTTTTGAAGAGGAGTGTGAACAAAGACGCATGATAAAATCCAAGCAAGGATGTAGTAGACTAACCACCGCTATGTCGGTACGATCTGAGCCAGCAATGAGTTCTGTTGCTAAGGAGACAGGTGTGGCAAGGTTGTCTTCAAGTCACAGTGCACCCGGAACACTTCGGAGAACTGTATCAAACTGTCGGCATTGTGGGAAGTTATATTCCAAGAGGAATAATCACAAAAGGGCATGTACTTGGCATTTTGGGGTAGGTTGCATTTGATAACATTTACAGAGTTGCAATCTAGCTGCCATTAGTTCGATTTTGACTAATTGTTTTTATTTTCTTTTTTATGTTCAATTTCCAAAATGAATAGCCAGTGAGTATGCGTTGCTATGCATTTATTAGAGATTATCAACCAAATAGATTTCCCTCCCATATATCACAGACTTGATTACATGATTGTTTTGACTAAACGATATAAATCATATGGCATTCCTTCCTGATATTTATTCTTTTGTATTTCATTTTCAGATTGCTGATGTGTTTGTAAGTATTTTCTTTCGTTTGTTAGCTTTTATAATGGTAGAGTAGAACCACTAATTAACAGAGACACATACTGTGGCCATTTTAAATATCTGTTCATTATTAAGACACAATATCTGCTAGTATAAACCATTTTTAATTAATTTTTTTTTTCTTCTATGTTGCTTGTGATTCATTGATAAAACCAACAAAGGGGGTAAGCTTAGAATGTATTTGTATAATATTTTGTAACTCAGTAACTGTTTGTAATTGTCTTAACTAAATCCAATGTGTATTTGCATTATATTAACATGTCAATTTCCAATGTTTTATGTTGTTCATCTTGTTGTCTTGGTTTCGTGAAGGGAATGGTAAGTTGGAAATATATTTTATTTATTTCTTTTTCATTACTTGAAACTTATTTATTTCATTACTTGAAGCCTATATATAGGTTCATATATTAAATCTTTCAATTTAGTGTCAAGCTTGTGGTAACCTAACAAATACCGAAGGATGCGTAGTGGGATACCATGAACCTGAATCAAAGACATCAGCTCGCATTTAAAAAGTTGGTACTGTCCTGAACTGCTGAAAGTGTGGCTTTAAAGTGTTTGTATAATGGAGAATTCAAGGGTTGTGTGTCCAGTGGAGCTACAATTAGACCAGATTATTCAATATTTAGAGAAGAGTGATATATATGGAATATGTTTCAACAACATCAAAAATTGTATGACATAATATTCTTATTAATTTAATCAACGCAAAAGCATTTATACTTATAAGTAATTATTTACAAAGATTCTATCTACATGCATATATACAAACTATTAAACTCAAAGATGTGACAATTAAAATGCCCTGACTTGTTGTGTTACGAAAATAACGTACTATATCAATGTGTGAAATTTTATAGAGATATATTTATATTAAAGTTTTTTAAGTGTATAATCCAATATTTTGTCATGCCCTTCAAATTTGAAATAGCCTTCAAATTTTTCATTATTCAACAACATTGGAAACCAAAGATCATCGTCAGGCCACATATCAGGGAATGGAATCTGGTCTGTTTGGAACCATTGTGGTCTCATTTCTATGAAAGCAGAAAAGTGAAATATATAAGGTAAGTGATAGTATAATACACACAAATAATACGTCATTTTGGCTATAATAGAGCCTTGTGTTCGTGTATGTGAGATTAGCTAAACCCAAATGTCTCAAACATGAAAACGAGGCTGTATATATAGCCAAAACGATGTACCATACCTTCAGATTCTTGAACTGATCCTTCATAACTGCTCGTCTTAAAAACATGAACTTCCATAATTCGAGGTTCACCGACAAACTCAAACTTGAGGATTCCAACATGACCTAAGTTCTTTGCCGTCAGATTACATTCTTCAAACAACTCTCTAAACAAGCCAATGTTGCAGTTTAATATGTGGGTTTTACTTCACTGCTCAACTGCAGGAATTGTTACCAAGAAAATATTATTGAGAGAGATATTTAATTTTTTTGCTCCTGCAAAACAGTTTTGAAGCTGATCAGTGTAATGCTTTATACCAGTGCCTAAAAATGTACCAATGTGGGGGGCACCCCACCCTGACAACTGTCCACCCCACCCAGACAACTATTGATCCATCCATATTCTAAACCCAACCCACTGTATCTACCCCACTACTACATATGTATCAACCCACTGTATCTACCCCACTACTACATATGTATACAATCCAGAGCACCCACTCCCCACCTTTTGGCAGCAGCCTCTATTGATTCGCCAGGGTCAACTTTCCCGCCAAATCCGTTCCATCTTCCTGCCCCAAATCCACGTTTTTTCATCCCCAACAAAATCCTGCCTGCGTCTAACACAAATGCCAGAGTATACAGCTTATTCTGCGTCATTCTCTTCCAATAATGTGGATAATTTGAAATATTTCAATTGTAAAAATATAAATACGAACTTCTATACAATCAAATTGCGACTTCGCCAAGCTTTTACAACCCAAAATTCCTTGGTAAGAACTTTGAAATTCCTTCGTTTTTCGTCAAATTCCCTAAGTTTCTCCGGTATTCATGCAAAATTCCTGCTTTTAAGGATCAATATTTTGTTGGCAGAAAATAAAGTTCTTCAAATTCCGGGGGGTGCAAAAAAATAAAAATATCTGAGTCAGCAATCTATGGAAACGGGGGGAGTGGGGATTGCAAAAAAATTCGTCTGCTGAGTCAGCATTCTTGGAAACCGGGGGGTGCGTGAAATAAATCTGAAACTTCCGGTTGGCGATTTTCGGAGAACTCCTTGTTTCTGCCAACAGAGCTATGTCTTTCAAAAGGCAAAAAAAATATTCTTTTTTTAGTTATGAACAATAAAGGTGTTATATGGCTCGCAGATACAAATGGCGTTGCATACACGCTGTCACCTGAAGACAACAAACTAACTTTACGGTCGGAAGAAACCGATATAATCAAACGTATTTCAGCAGTGGAGTCATGTGCGTTTGCCATTGGAGGCGACCAGGACGTTTATCTCTATGTCAATAGCAGAGATGTACCCATACGAGTGCAAGTTAGCACCTACGAGAATCAGAGATGGACGCCTATTTATAAATGGTCTGAAAAATCGGTAAGTTTTTAGTTAGTAATTTGAGTGTATATTTATGAATTGTTGTGATAATTTGTGAACGTATCGAGTAATTAGATAATTGTATGATTTAATTAGCTGTGATAATAATAACTTCATTTACAACAATAATTTTTAAGGATAGCACAAAAAACTTAAACACATCACCATCATCACCATTATGACATGACCATCATGACATGACCATCAGGGGGGGGGGGGTGAATAGGGGTATACAACTCCGCCGATCCGCCCAAATTTGAAGCAAAATCCGCGATCCGACAATGGTCTTGTCTAAATTTGAATCCGCTAAGGGGCCACGTCCATATTCATGTTGCCACGCATAACGTCGAATCTACGTTATGGGTGGGTGGGTGGGTTTTTACATCAACTAGCTTCTCGACGTTATCTGACTTATCTCGTGGCAATTTGACTATTTACATCCGAACAGACCGACGTTTTGCCAGTATTATATTATTTTGAACTAATAGAGTTCAAAACAAAGATGGAAGTATTGAAGTGACATTTATCGTGTCAAATGCGCGTGAATTTGTGTTCGCGAATCGCGACATTTTTCTGCGGTAAAACTTCTAATTTTATGAAGGCAAGCACAATAGTCAATAACTTTGAATTGAAGCCTCGGCATTTTAATGCATTTCTGAAATAAATTGATTGATTATATACCATATTTTATGAGAATAAGCGGTCAAAATACGGCAGGGTAACAATCGACGTTATCTGAGGTGGGTGGGTGGGTACCGGTGATAACGTCGATTCGACGTTATGCGTGGCAACCAGGGTCTTAGCTAGGATTTTAGATCTTGGGCGTGTTTCTAATGACCAGGGCGTGCACATGTCAATTACTTTGAATAGCAAAATAATGGCTCTAGTTATGCTCGCCAACAACAATGCCTGTGGTTGTTGTATGCTTTGCAGCCAAATACAAGGCGAGCATACGCTCATATTGCACACTGACAATTAAGTTATTTCAACAAAATTAAAACCATTTGAACACCATACAGTTCCAATTATCCATCAAAACATTAAAACATCACGGATCACTTTTGCCAATTCAACAACAACAGTAGATTCTACAAGTTTTCTTGACGTAAATAGGAAGAAATTCTGTCTGTTGTAAGTATAGCACCACCTTATTTTATGAACCTATATACACGGCCTTATATAAATAGTGAAGACGCGTTCATTTTATCTAGCCGTGTTTTTGCACTTTTGGCCGCGATAACATGGCCAACACGGCCCTCTATAGCTAAGACCCTGGTGGCAACATGAATATGGATGTGGCCCCTAAAAGCTCTACTGTGAAGTCACAATCCAGGATCCAAACTAAATTGCAAGCTAAATCCACAATCCGAGCCAAAATATCCAGAGTGAATTTGAGGGTGTATTTCCGAAAGATCTTTGGCGCAAAACAGCGACTCGAACAACGTTTGGCGCACATTTTTGGCGCAGATTGATCGCAAATATATTGATTTGGCGCAACAATTTGGCGCAGAATGATCCCAAAGATCAATTTGGCAAAGATTTGGTGAAGCAATTGAGCATTTATGTAATAGTATATTTGAAATTATGATTTGAGAAGAATGAAAAGTCAAATTTCGAAAATTCGGTGAAAATTTCGAATATTTCCGAAAACCGCATATTTTTTCACGACAATTTTCTTGGCACAGGTTTTGGCGCAGCTTTACATGAATTCGAAAAATCTTCAGCGCAGAAAAATTGAGAGATTCACCCTGGCAAAATATTAGATAAATCCGTAAACCGCTGAGTTAATAAGATCCGCAATTCCGTGTAAAATATTCGCCAGATCCGAAATCCGAACAATTTCTTGTGTGAAATCCGACGATCATCATGCAACCACCACTATCATGACCACAACCACCCTCATCAGTATGTAACATCATCAACACCACCACCTTCATCTCCACCACCATCAATTGACCACCATATGATTATTACTACTGCTAATCTAAATACAATCCACCCCAGATGTTACCAACAGACCGCTGGTCATGGAGTACACAAGATGGTTCCAAACGCACTCCAAAAGAATCGTTTATTTTACCAGAAAACTGGCAGTGGGAGGATGATTGGTACATTGACCAAACTGTCCATGGGGACCACAAGGTATGTTGTGGTCCAGTGGTTAGCCTGGCCACATTTTTTTCTTCTGTAAATGTGGGTGGATTGAAGGGAAAAGAGGGCCTGACACAAATCCTGCTTTTCATCTGATTGGTCTAGATCAGACAAAAAAATTTAATCTGTTAGTGCTAATTAGATTTAACAAATATAAAACATTTTCCGTGTTGATATACAGTTATATCAACACAAGTGGAATTGGAAAAACGAGAAATTGTATGGAAACACGACGCCCGAAGGGCGGAGTGTTTTCATACAATTTCGAGTTTTCCCAACTTCCACGAGTGTTGATATAACTTTCTCAAATTCATTAATAATTCATGAGTAATTCAGCCAATGATAATCACCTATTTGATCACAAGATGCCATTTGGATACTTGATGAAAGTCACTAGTGTTTTCATCAAATATCTTAATTACGCATGCAAAATTACTTGAATAGAATTCCTAATGACGTTATGCTTGGTTAAGAATTCTATTCAAATCAGCAAACGAAAACATTCTGTTACGTCTCGATTCATTTGAGAAGCCATATAAACAACTCGAGCTCGTGTTTCACCGGGATATCCAAACACTCGAAAACAATGTATGAAAACACTCGCACTTCGCGCTCGTGTTCTCATACATTGTTTTCTCGTGTTTGGATATCCCGGTGAAACACTCGCTCTTGTTGTTCATATATTACATATATCAATACGGAAAAAATGTTTTATATTTTTTTTATAATATAGCGATGTCAAAAGCCCGAAGGATAAGAAAAATTTCCGTGTTTAGAAGCGGCGGAAATTTTCCCGTGTTGACATTGAGTTATATCTTAGCCAATCAACGTTCAGAATTTACAAATGCTATATTATAATGTACTATTGTTCATGATATATTTAGCAGTTTTAACTATAATTAGATTACTCTATGTCCACCGGGGCCTAGATAGATCTGTTTGTTTGTTTTGCCTGTCTATTTGTCAGATCTCCATTTTCAAAAGTCAGAACTCCCTTTTCAAATGCCAAAACTCCCTTTTCATTTGCCAGAACTCCCTTTTCAAATGCCAAAACTCCCTTTTCATTTGCCAGAACTCCCTTTTCAAAAGCCAGAACGCCCTTTTCAAATGCCAGAACGCCCTTTTCAAATGCAGGAGCTCCGTTTTCAAATGCCAAAACTCCATTTTCAAATGCCAGAACTTCGTTTTCAAATGCCAAAACTCCGTTTTCAAATGCCAGAGCTTCGTTTTCAAATGCAAAAACTCCGTTTTCAAATTTCTCAAAAAAATTTCTTCGGTGCCTGTTGGATAGTTGGACAGTTGGATCTCAGATGCATGGGTTCATTGTTGGTAGTATTCTACTTTACGATAAACTGTGGTTACTAACCATGGTATCTTTTCTTGTTATTCACAGGGCTGGCAATATGCACTGGATTTTCCAAGGGAGTATGGTCCAGTCAAGGAGTGGAAGTCGTGTGTCCGTCGAAGGTGCTGGGCAAGGTATCGACGTTTTGGCAGGCTCGAGAAATGGATGAAGGTAACAGTGGAGGAAATATTGAATAATTTCACTGTTTTGCTCAGAAATATTTGTTTTACTTGGAACCAACTGTTAAACTGTTAAAATTCTTAAGTCATGAGATTACCTGATGACATGCAGATTGCTAGCTAGCCTGACACTCTTATTAGTTGGACTAAGGTTAAGTTATAAAAGAGCTTTATTTGCATGACCTATTTACAGGTATTGCTGAAGCATTTAGAGTAACATTGGCAATTAACTAAATACACGCTTACTACAAAGTAATGATACTAGTTATTTACAAAGTAGTAGTTTCAACTATGTAACATGCCATAGCAGAGTGTCAAGCTTGAAATATTGATGGGTTTAAGCCTTGTGTGGAATTCAGTTTTCTCTAGGGGTGCACCGGAACTCAGTTCCGGCCGGTTAGTTCCGGCCGGAACCCCGATTTTTTAGAGTTCCGGTTCCGGCCGGAACTAGTAAAAAAAGCATGGCCGGAACCGGAACTCTGTTGTTTTCAGAGAGATAGAATATCAAACGTTTTTGTGTCTCACAAAAGGTCACAGTAGGAAGAAATTTGGACTACGCAAGGGAAATGTACACCATTAACACTTCATTGTGACGCTTGTCAATCTTTTTATTCTAACATTTGCGAGCTCTCTCCTTGATGACTTGAAGTGTCTGCCTGTCTGGCAGCGGACAAAGTAACATATGACAATATATGGCTTAATAAATTAGTTCCGGTTCCGGCCGGAACTTCCGGCCGGAACTTTTTTCCAGTTCCGGTTGGATCCGGTTCCGGCCGGAACTTAAAAAACTGGTTCCCGTGCACCCCTAGTTTTCTCTTGAGCTTTATCAGTGTTTAACTATGAAGCTACAAACAAAACAATATAACAACTATTCATTCTCTATTAAGATAAGTTCACCAAATACAGAAGAGTTGGTTGAACGAGCTGTCCAGGATATTTCTGCTGGTGGTATGTCCATTCCTGGTTGTGAACCTGGTTACATTGCGTTGTGGGCTTGCAACTTTGCTGGACAGGTACATATCTAAACTGTGTTTCAATTTATTGTCCACCAAAGACAAGAACAGTGCATGTACTGTAATGTTATGAAAATAATGAACGTTATTTTTCACTCTGATAACTGCAGATTTACCACCATCTACTGTACAATAGCGCTTAGTGAAACCTACTGTATATAATAACTGTTAATACAATTTCCAGGTCCTGTACAGACAAGGGATAAGTTATGTGTGTCCTGAAGGTACTGGCTGGCTGACTGTTGAACTTCCAGAAGACGTCCACGCTGGCCAGATCTCTGTTGGTCCTACGGGCATGGTTTGGATGATAACTTGGCAAGGAAGCCTTTATCTTCGCACAGGAATTTCTAAATTTAAACCAACAGGTTAAAAATTTGCTTGTGATGTTACTCTGAGTGTATATCCACATCGGGCAGGCTTGAAAAATATGCCTGGCCACGGTGGGAATTGGGCTAGTATTCCAAAGGTCGTAGGTTCGATTCCCACCGTCAGGGACCCGGTGTGGATATACACTCAGAGTAACATCACAAGCATCTTATTCACCTGAGAATATTGCACCAACACAGCAGGTTAAAAATATGTTAAAAATTAAGTGTTAACTTGTAGCAAGGCTAGTACTTGCACAGTTAGTTAAACAGAATCATTGGCCTGATTTGTATTGAAGAAAGACTGACTGATTTTTAAGATGTTAATCACCTGATTTGCAGATCATCTGTCTTCGTGTAAACACTAGGTGAACTATCCATAGACCAAGTAGCTATAAACTATATTTTTTCGTAGGATTATCCTGGATTGCAGTTCCTTTTCCTGATGATCGAGTCTACCAACTCTCTGTAGGAACAAACGCTTTATGGCTGTTGACAATGGAAGGAAAGGTACGCAAACATACGTTGATTTTGCACTGCTAAGAACAGTACAATAAAGTAGCCCTTTCAGAAGCAAAAACGTCTGGTAGCAATGGGGGCCCTTACAGGTTGCTTTCAGAAAACCCTAGTTTCCATATATGATCGTAACGGTCGTAAAGATCAAGTCACAATCTTTCTCAACAGCCGAAACACAACAGTTTGGAACTGAAAATAGGCAGAGTGATTATAAATAGAGAATACTTATGATTTATCAATTATGATAGGTCGTGACCCCATTTTTACAGATGGAACACCTCCGCAGATGGTAGTGAACGGTAGAAATATTAACACTACATATAATGAAAAGAATTCACATTATTTTCTCGCAAACTTATTGACTAACACATTGTGTTGTTAGGTATATTTTCGACGTGGTATTTCTTCATCTATTGGTTACACAGATGAAGCGAGCGCTAAAGGAACCAAATGGGTCGAAATGGTTGGAAACTTTTCTCTTCTTTCTATGGCTTTGAATGATCAGGTCAGTTTATAATCTGAGGTGGATCAGTCAGTAGGTCTGTTAGTTAGTAGATCTGTCAGTAGGTTTGTCCGTCAGTAGGTCTGTCAGTCAGTAGGTCTGTCAGTCAGTAGATCTGTCAGTAGGTCTGTCAGTCAGTAGGTCCGTCAGTCAGTAGGTCTGTCATCAGTAGATCTGTCAGTCAGTAGGTCTGTCAGTAGGTCTGTCAGTCAGTAGGTCCGTCAGTCAGTAGGTCTGTCAATCAGTAGGTCTGTCAGTCTGTCATGTGATTAATCAGTCAAGTACTGTCTATTTCTTTGCGCTGCGCAGGTTTTTACTTTGAGTACTGGATCTGATCATGTTTACTTCCGGTCTGATGTCACTTCCTCTGAACTATCTGGTAAAGAGTGGAAGAATCTGAATATTGGTCATTCAATGACAGACAGTATGAGTAGCCTGTCTAGCAATTCTTCACATCAGGAAATTGAGGGCAACAGAGGTAAATATTTTTATTTCTTATATAGCTAGTGCTAAATGTGTTTGGCTGATTATGGTCACGTGGTTTTAGATAAATGCAATGTATCCCGCCAGCCAACAATTAGTAAGTGAGTAAGTGGAGCCAGTTAGGGGGCTAATCCTAACCCACCATATCAACTTTCCCTGTGGGAGAACACCGGAGTACCCGGAGAAAACCCACGACTTTCGACAGAGCGTTGACGGACTCTTTTCACATAAATTTCACTAGTCCGATGTGAGGATCGAACCGACGATCTCGGAGGTGAACGGCGCTTGCTATGACGATTGCGCCACCGAAGCCTCCGACATCATTCATTCATTCGTTCGTTCATTCATTCGTTGGTTCATAGATAGATAGATAGATAGATATTTAATAAATTTCTCCCTAAAAGTGTTTTTCAGAAATTATTTACAGTTACATGCATGCAGTAATAATTAAGGTTACAAATATAAGTTTAAACAATTATCAAAGACTATATACAAAATGTCTTAGGCTATACTAAATGTTATCTTTTGCAAGCAAATGTTTTTAAGTGCTACGTTAAAAATTTTAAGAGAAGAGCAGTCTTTCAAGTTCTTGTCTAAATTGTTCCAAATATGGACGGCTCTACATGTAAATGATCGTTGACCAGCTGCAGTCTTAAATAGAGGTATTTGAAGAGAGTCGTGTGTACGAGTCCTACGGTCGTGGATTGATGACCTTTTTATCAATTTGGTACAAAGTTAGTCGGGTGCTAGGTTATTCATTCTGATCTCCCACAGGTGAAGACGGCACATTATTTTCTGAACAACTATTCGGCATGGATAAAACCTTGGAGAAATATCACTGGAACTGGATAAACTGTGGCGCGTGTAATGTGACAGCGGATTTCTTCAACTCGCATAACCACTGGCAACGACAGCCCTCTGTTAGCTCTGTCAGTTTGAATAAATTAAATCTTACTGATGGGCCATGGAGGGGGACTGTACTCGAGTTACTAGAGTCACGTGATACTAATGAATTGAGTCCTTACTGTGATTACGAACAGGCTGTTGACAAGGTTTGTTTGTTTGTTTGTTTGTTTGTTTGTTTGTTTGTTTGTTTGTTTGTTTGTTTGTTTGTTTGTTTGTTTGTTTGTTTGTTTGTTTGTTTGTTTGTTTGTTTGTTTGTTTGTTTGTTTGTTTGTTAACTACATCTTATTAATTTGCCACCAAATACAAGACGTCTACATATAACATCATTTTCTCACTCATCAAAATAGTTTGATCATCAAACTGCAGATTGACCACCATCTGTTGCACGATAGTACTCTCTGTAAGTTCATGTTCTATAAGTGAACGTCGTTATTTTTCCCCCAGGGAAGCTGGTCAAAGTCGGGTACATTCCGAATGCTATCTGACAAACGTAACCACATCTGGTGTCCATGCGACGTGACCCTAGCAAGCGAAGCTGACGCGGAATGCTTAATAGCTCACTACACCAAAGGAAACAAGACGAAAGAAATGAAAATTTTGATCTTTGATATCACGTGCATAGCTAGGGTTTACAACCAGACTCATACGAACTGCTTTGCCATACATACAGCCGTACGAACCATGGAAAGAAATTTTCTTATGCTCTCGGCTCTGAGCGAAAAGGAACTCAACGAGTGGGTAACGGTATTAAACGCGTCTTGCCAGAAGGCGCGCAAGTGTGAAGGTCCACCCAAGCCTTCTGCTCTGTGGTGTACAACCACCTGGGGAGATGTATTCTTTAGCGACTCCAAAGATGAGTTTGGTAGGTTGTTTTTAATTCGTGGGGTGGGGCGACTTTAGTGCATGTAGTAAATAATGATCCTCACTGGACCTCTAGAAAGAACAGTTTAGAACTGATAGAGCTATCCAGTATAAATAAAGTTAGTTTACTTTAGGTTTTCTTCTGTAATAACACTGGATCAATAAGAGACGATCCTTACTGGACCTCTAGGAAGAACAGTTTAGAACTGATAGAGCTATCCAGCGTAAATAAAGTTAATGGATTTTTTTGTTTTATCCTAGATTTCACAAGTCTACCAGCATACCACATTTATTGGCGTCAAGTGGGCGGTCACCTAGCCAAAGTTGAGGCTGGGGTGGATCATGTTGTTTGGGGGCTTGGGCACGACGGAAGGCCATGGTGTTTTACACGTGGCTTTGGTGGCGGGATTTTCCCAGCTGACGTGAGCAGCGCCCACGGTATTTATGATCAAAGTGATCAAAATGTGTTCTACACATATGAAAACCAGAGGTGGAACCCTTTGGAAGGATTTGGGGGAAGGTAGGTAGTATAATATGATGATGAGGGATAACTTGGACCTCAAAGGACTGCCTGAGCTATCCAGAAAAATAAAGTTAGTTTAGTTTAGGTTTCCTCCTGTAGTAACACTGGATTAATAAGAGATGATCCTTACTGAACCCTCTATAGGAAGAACAGTTTAGAACTGATAGAGCTACCCAGTATAAATAAAGTTAGTTCAGTTTAGGTTTCTTCCTGTAGTAACCTTCGATCAATAAGAGATAATGCTTAACTGGACCTCTAAGAAGAACAGTTTAGAACTGATGGAGCTATCCAGTATCAATAAAGTTAGTTTAGTTTAGTTTCCTCCTGCAGGAACACTGGATCAATAAGAGATGATCTTTATTGGACCTCTAGGGAGAACAGTTTAGAACTGATAGAACTATCCAGTATAAATAAAGTTTGTTTAGTTAATTCTTATAAGAGTACCTTCATAAAATGTAACTCTTCCCGCAGCTTTCTGCTTTCTTTTCATTTCTTAGGCGGTTATTAACAGATCGTTACGAGTGGAGCGATGAAACAGGAGTGTTGGAACGTAGAAAAGAAGGATACCCTCTCCCTAACTCTGACTGGCAGTGGTCTGACGAGTGGAAGGTTGATTACAACACGACAGAAGGAACGGACAGGGATGGATGGATGTATGCTCTGGATTTTCCAAGGTAAGAGGGGAGAACAGGTTAAAAGAGAAAGCTGGTGGGGGTATGTGGGGTTGGATTCGGTTGCCACCAAATTCACATTTTCACATGCCTAGTTGCTACTGTTCTGATAATGCAACCATAGAATAGAATAGAATAGAATAGAATAGAATAGAATAGAATAGAATAGAATAGAACAAAAACAATCAAACATTTAAATGTCTGGCAATATATTAATGTATGCATGTATCTTTTTTCTAGGGAATACAGTAATGAGAAACATTGGAATGACTGTGTGCGAAGACGCCGCTGGCGCAGGTAACTATCGTCTTTAATGTTTAATTATATATGTATATTCTCCCAATAGAGTTTTTCAGAAAGTACTTACAACTAGTTATTTCATTAACTAATTACAGTTATGTTACATTAGTATAATTACATACAGTAGGTGAGTATTGAAAATTCTCCATGCTGATTGGTTGCCGTTGAGATGAGATAATCACCTAAGCGATTTTCAAAATGGCGGCCAAAGCCGTTTTGTCAATTAAATGACGAAGAAATGTGTATTTTTTATTTTTTTCCATATAGTCACCTGTGAAATTATACTAAAACAATTATTCACCTCAGGCTCGGTGATTATCGTGAATAAAAACCTCGACTTCGTCTCGGTTTTTATTCACCGATAATCACTTCGCCTTCGGCGAATAATTGTTAAATATCACACTGAAAGTTAGATATAAAAAATATATATACCCTAATCATAGTAAACTAGAATCTTCTATCAGACTTAAGTTTAAAATTTCTATTGGTTAAGTAAGTATCTTCTAAAAAGTTTTGATTTGGATTTTTTTTTTTTAAATTCTCTGTTGACTTCATATCATCGTCCGAACTGTTCCATAAACTGTCCCCAGTGTTACTAAAGGCTAATTTCCACTCAGGAAAATTATCCGTGGACTGGAACGGACAAGAAAATTTTTCTTTGTCTTGTGAGCTCTGGGTTGGAACTAATGACTTTAACACAAAGAAACATTTTCTTGTCCGTTCTCATCTCAAAGCACTCATCTCACATGAGGTAAAGTAATCAGTGTTTTTTTCAGGGATTTTTTAGGACCGTAAAACGGGCCCCAAAAACTCAATCTTGAATTGAGTTTTGAAACTCAATCTTCTCACCAAAAGATTCAGTGCAGTAAAAATGAAGTTGTTTGAGTTAAATTCGTGACGTGTGGAAATTAGTTTCAGTTGGAAACCCGACAATCAGGGGGAAAAAGCTGGAATTCATTTCACAACACAAGAAGAACAACGCATTCGCCATCTTTAGCCAGTTTATGTCTGCTTTAACACATTGCATCTCAACTACACTTATTGGGTACAGGTGTCAGCCTCCCGCAGCTGCCCCAGACTCCCAGCTGTTCAGCTGAATTCAATCTTCTCTGCAAAAACGGACCCAAGAGAAAATCCTGGAAAAAACCCTGAAAATTATAACGAGACAAATGCCCACGAGATAAAAGGCAGATGTAGTGACCACTTTGACAATCAACTCACAAACAACTACAAACAACAGCAACAATCGTTTTGTTTTGTAGATCTGCGTGTGTCAACACAACGGGTCCATGGGTTGAAATCTTGCCCTCAATTCAACTGAAAGACATCAGTATTCAAGTTGATCGCAAATATCACGATGATGGCAGTGTGGCAGTTTGGGCGGTCAATTTTAAAGGAGATGTTTTGTGCAGGAAAGCGGTGACTGCTGCCTGTCCACAGGTCAGTAACTTACATCAAGTGTTGAACAATTTGATTTGAAAAGGTCAGCGCCATCCCTCATTGATCCAATGTGGTTTCAACACTTCCGACAGTCGTGTGATGAGCGTGTGTTTTGTATACAGGGTGAATCTTGGCTTCATGTAACCACCAACGCAAAGTTTCAAAGCATCTCAGTTGGGTGTAACTACAGCGTGTGGGGTATTGGTGTTGACGGCGCCGCTTATCTCAGAGTTGGTTACTCGGGATATGATGACGCAGGTACGTCCATTGATCTGTAGATGTAGCTGGATTGATCGTGCTAAACTAAGCAAAGGCCTTTGTAGAGTGATTTAAGTAAATCAAAACGACGACTGAGTGAATAACATGGAGAACAGTGAGATTTTCAAAACAACGGAAAGATAATGAAACCTAAATAAAAAAGAAATTCGGAAAAGACAAGACACTTGAGATAGATAGAAAACAAGAGAAAAAGACACAAGAGTTTTGAATCATATATTGTATTTTCAAGATGTCGTGTCTTTTCAGAATTTGCTTTTTACTTTACTTTTTTGAATTGTCAGCTGGTCGTGGTTTTTGGACAATGGAACATTCCAGTCTAGGTCGTGGCTGGATAGCATAAAGAACAGCAGTAATCCAGTATATATTAAAGCTACATATATTTCAAAATATTTCTCATGACTAGGCAAGATGTGGGAGCGTATCCCAGCTCCAGGACACAATCCTCTGAACACGATCTCAGTGGGGAAGAACACAGTCTGGACGGTGGATAAGTTTGGTGAACATTATTACAGAGAGGGAGTCATTGAAACATTTCCTGAAGGGACGACTTGGTTGAAGATTTTTGGTCGAGTACAATCTGTGTCTGTTAGCGCGAATGATGAGGTAGGGATGCCTTCTTTCGCCTCGCCCGCCTTTTAGGTGTTCCGCAGCGGGCTGCCAGTCTTCCATGCAGGCTAGGTTTCAGTGAGCCCTCGCAGAGCAGGAGATGGTGGCCAACTGCAGAAATGTCGACATTTTTAGGAGCAAACTCCATCTCTCAATTATTTTCATTTGCCACCAAATACAAGACTACTACATGTAATGAAAAGGATCGACATTATAACTGCAGATTGACCACCATCTGCTGCACGATAGTCAATCAATCGATATTTATTAGCACCTGGAAATTTTACATATAACTTCTCTTCATTAAATATTACATAATATGAAGGTGCAAGCTAATAACTGAAAATAACCTTGTAGGGTTAGACGAGACAGTTAGCTTATAATTTATTGATATCGAGTGGTGAGAGAATACTTTTAGAATAGTGCTTGGTGAAACCCAGCTACAACATTGTCTTACTCTGTCTGTCTATATTTGAGTGAAGAATGCCATGAGCAGTCTGTTTATTGTGTCTTGGTTTCCTTAGGTGTGGGTGAAATGTCAGGGTGGATTAGAGAAATGTTTTAATACTGCACCGGATAGACCCACTGGGCGTGGTTGGGTTTTAGCGTTGCCGGTAAGTCCTATAGTTGGGATATATTTTAACTAGACTAACGTTCTTTGTACTGGATAGCTCTATCAGTTCTAAATTGTTCTTCCTAGAGGTCCAGTAAGAATCATCTCTTATTGATCCAGTGTTACTACAGGAGGAAACCTAAACTAAACTAACTTTATTTATACTGGATAGCTCTATCAGTTCTAAATTGTTCTTCCTAGAGGTCCAGTAAGGATCATCTCTTATTGATCCAGTATTACTACAGGAGGAAACCTAAACTAAACTAACTTTATTTATACTGGATAGCTCTATCAGTTCTAAATTGTTCTTCCTAGAGGTCCAGTAAGAATCATCTCTTATTGATCCAGTGTTACTACAGGAGTAAACCTAAACTAAACTAACTTTATTTATACTGGATAGCTCTATCAGTTCTAAATTGTTCTTCCTAGAGGTCCAGTAAGGATCATCTCGTATTGATCCAGTATTACTACAGGAGGAAACCTAAACTAAACTAACTTTATTTACACTGGATAGCTCTATATCAGTTCTAAACTGTCTTCCTAGAGGTCCAGTAAGAATCATCGCTTATTGATGCAGTGTTACTACAGGAGGAATCCTGAACTAACTTTATTTATACTGGATAACTCTATCAGCTGTAAACTGTTCTACCTAGAGGTCCAGTAAGGATCATCTCTTATTGATCCAGTGTTACTACAGGAAAAAACAAAACTAAACTAACTTTACTATACTGGATAGCTCTATCAGTTGTAAACTGTTCTTCCTAGAGGTCCGGTAAGAATCATCTCTTATTGCTCCAGTGTTACTACAGGAGAAAACCTAAACTAACTTTATTTTTTCTGGATGGCTCTAACTTCATATTATTTCTTACATTACAGACCTTCTGGCACAATGTTACTACACGAGCAGTTGGGGTTGAAGATGCCCCTTGCTGCATGAATGAAACGGACTTACTTGATGAGGCAACTGCAGTGTGTAAGGTGGACGATAAACAACCATTAAAACATTTTGAAACAGTTAAACAAAGTTCGTATAAAGATCTTATGGAAAGTGGAGATATATACAGCATCTTTGGCGGAGAGGAAGAATTTGTTCCTAATTCTGATAGTGAAGATGAGAGCTGATGAGGTGAGACTCTGACTCCTGATTTGTCAAAACTAATATATACCTTAACGTCCTTAACCTTTATTTATACTGGATAGCTCTATCAGCTCTAAACTGTTCTTCCCAGAGACCCAGTATAAGGGTCATCTCTTATTGATCCAGTGTTATACTACAGGATGAAACCTAAACTGATGTATTCTGGATAGCTCTATCAGTTCTAAACTGTTCTCCCCATAGAGGTCCAGTAAGGATTAACTCTTATTGATCCAGTGTTATTACAGGAGGAAACCTAAACTAAACTAACTTTATTTATACTGGATAGCTCTATCAGTTCTAAACTGTTCTCCCTATAGAGGAGGTCCAGTAAGGATCATCTTTTATTGATCCAGTGTTACTACAGGAAGAAACCTAAACTGATGTATTCTGGATATCTCTATCAGTTCTAAACTGTTCTCCCTAGAGATCCAGTAAGAATTATCTCTTATTGATCCAGTGTTACTACATGCAGGATGAAACCTAAACTGATGTATTCTGGAGATCTCTATCAGTTCTAAACTGTTCTCCCTAGAGGTCCAGTAAGGGCCATCTCTTATTGATCCAGTGTTACTACAGGAGGAAACCTAAACTAAACTAAGTACTATTTATACCAACCTCCGTCGCAGGGACTTTCTATTTATACTGGATAGCTCTATCAGTTCTAAACTGTTCTTCCTATAGATTCTCCCTAGAGGTCGCGCAAGTTGAAAGTCTCACAGAAGAATGGGTCACAGATCATGTAAGGAATAGAACGCCGTCAAGGTTTGAAATTTTAAGTCCATGACTATAAAAACAAATTTTATAATAGGGATTCTCGATAAATTATTTTATATAATTTTGAAAATGTGACATAGTGTGAATAAATAGATTATGAAATTAGTAACAATACATTTCAGAAGATGTTGCGCGTTTTCGCCCTGTTTAGCTGTAAAAGTGGCGAACACGTCGCGAAATTTTGAGACGTTATGTTGCCAACACATTCTCACCCTTGTGTTGCTGCTATTTTCAATCCTCAAACCTCTTATGGCGTAAATCATAGCTCAAATTTAATAATATTTTGCCCTAATTAAAAGGATATCAAAATTTCATCGATTATGAAACTTTGTTACAACTTAAGTTTTTTGACGGGTATCTTTCAGAGACTTAAAAGTATGTTGAGGAATGGGGAAGGATCGAGGACCCCTCCCCACCCCAGTGTTCACCACTGGCTCATTTTTTAATCACAGTTTAATATAGGTTTGATATATCAGCATTTGAAACGAATTACGAAGCATAAAATGTTAGATATTCGGCAAATACCACACTGTTTGAATTATCTTAGCATGATCAGACGCTCAATATAAGGTCGAGACATTTTGGCGATCCGAACTAATAAGATTTGCATTGTTATATAATCGCATTCGCTGGCTAGAAACCCCGCTATACTGGCTGCATGTTTCGCAATGGGATTTGAAATATTCAGTTATACTATAGAACTCCCACACTGGCTTCACCAAGCACTATCGCACAGCAGATGCTGGTCAACCTGCTTTGTGTTATCAGATTGAGAAAATAACGTTCATTCTTTTCATCATGTACTATTTAAAACACAAGCAGGAGTGCTTTATCATGAGGTATTAGACTTTTAGATTGACGTTTACGGCAAACGTCAACCGCTAGCGAGGGTTTTGATTTTACAACTCTATTATAATAGCTTTTACACCAGTTTTGAAATATTTTAAACTTATTAAACTTGTGCTCTTTAGCAATGATTTAAGAAAGCAAATTAATGACTGGTCATGCCATTCACCAAAGCAGTAAATTATATAAGATTTGGCGTTTGAAGTTGACGTTTGGCGTATAAATTTCATGCTTTAACGACTACAAGCCCTCGTAGCAGTTCAAGCATGAAATTTATACGCCAAACGTCAACTTCAAACGCCAAATCTTATATAATTTACTGCTTTGGTGAATGGCATGACTAGTGGTTAATTTGCTTTCTTAACTAATCATTGCTAAAGAGCACAAGTTTAATAAGTTTAACATATTTCAAAACTGGTGTAAAAGCTATTATAATAGAGTTGTAAAATCAAAAACTTCGCTAGCGGTTTGCCGTTTGCCGTAAACGTCAATAGAGACCTTAAGATTGACGTTTACGGCAAACGTCAAACCGCTAGCGAAGTTTTTGGTTTTACAACTCTATTATTATAGCTTTTACACCAGTTTTGAAATATGTTAAACTTATTAAACTTGTGCTCTTTAGCAATGATTTAAGAAAGCAAATTAACCACTAGTCATGCCATTCACCAAAGCAGTAAATTAAGATTTGGCGTTTGAAGTTGATGTTTGGCGTATAAATTTCATGCTTTAACGACTACAAGCCCTCGTAGCAGTTCAAGCATAAAATTTATACGCCAAACGTCAACTTCAAACGCCAAATCTTATATAATTTACTGCTTTGGTGAATGGCATGACTAGTGGTTAATTTGCTTTCTTTAAATCATTGATAAAGAGCAAAAGTTTAATAAGTTGAAGATATTTCAAAACTGGTGTAAAAGCTATAATAATAGAGTTGTAAAATCAAAAACCTGGCTAGCGGTTTGACGTTTGCCGTAAACGTCAATCTTAAGGTCTCTAATCTAAAGGTTTTAAAAAACGACCTTATCTTATGAGTTCATTGGCGAAGTAATTTTAAAAAGCAACGTTGTCTAAGTGGAGAAAATCAAAGCTGAAGTTTATGTAAATTCACATGGTTTTTATCACATAACCGGCAGTGATTTCTTCTGTCTTTTCATGATGAATTATTGATGCGTGTTTTAAATAGTACGTAATAGTCGTGTTCGTACAAAAATATTCACCAAACGAATACTTCTTTTAAATTTTATTATATTCAACTTCCGTCCTACCTATATAAAAACAAAATGCTAAATAATACACAATAAATAATTTCAATTCGATTCCGTCTTTGCAGTTAGCTCTACGGCCACTGAAAATTACGGTCTGTCATTTTGTACAGTTGTTCATTAAATGGTCGGTAGTATCTTCGCAGTTCGCTAAGAATTCTGGGATCGACTGTTGGGTGCGCGCGACCTTTGGTTTTTCCCAGACACCGTTCATTCTTTTTGGCTGCCCCGCGAAAGCAGGGAAAACCCTTTTTTTCGTTAAACACAAAATTAGCCTTTCTGAAATACGGTTTAATTTCTAGAAATCTCTCCACCCTCTTAATTTCCTGGAAAGGATTATTGACCAATTCTTCACCGCTGACGAAATGAAACCATTCGCGCGGAAAATAGCGAAGCCATCTTTCTAAATGTTTTGCGTAGACTCCCGTCTTTATAACGCCCCACGATGTATCGATTTTAAGTGCGGAGTTATTTTTTATAACCATTTGTTCAAAAGGTTTTAGAGCTCTGTGGTATTTCGTCTGAACGCCAAGATTCAATTGCACGTAATCGGAAACCGCGCGGACGGTTGGATCACGGAAAATCACTAAAAACTTTAAACTTTTATTGATAGATTTCGAGTATTCGAGGATGCGTTCCGGTACTCCTTTGACTACAAAATAACTCGGAGTTTTTTCAATAGTTTGTTGTCCGGCCCGAACGTCGGGTGTTTGATCCAGGTACCATTGTAAACCGCGCGGATAGCGTTGATCGAAGAAATGTACCTCAGGCCCGCATGATTTCACTTGCGGGTGTAGCCTGAGTATTGCTAGCAAAGCGCGGGTTCCAGCCTTTCGTACACCGATGATTAAAGTGGTAGGGAAACGTTTCACAGCTTCGCCCTGTTTGCTTGCTATTGTGGCTTCAGTTTCAAGCTGGGTAATGGATTTCCGATCTAAATCGGAGGGTATTGAATTCAGGCTCTCGGCAGGCCGGACTATAGTATAGCAATCTGGTGACAAAGATACATTATACTTGATATGACTCTCTGAGTTCATACTTGGCCGTTGTAGTTGCGATGGAGAAACGCGCGCATAATCTTGGCGTGTGATCGTCGGCGCGTCTGTTTTAATACGCGCGTGATTGTTTATAAATCCATCTTGATTAGATTGCGTCCTGAATAAATTACGTCCTCTACTCAGCGGAATGTAGTTTGTCTTGACCAGCACTGAGAATACGGCGTACAATACAATCGAAGAACCTATTACAAGACAGAATTTCTTGGCGTTCATTACATTCATCCGAGAAATGAATCCGCGCGCAGTTTATTCGTAAGTCATTCAGCATAAATCGCGTCCTTTCTTGCGCTTCACTGACCAAACTTTCCAACAGACAATACGGTGCGCGCTTTGACACATCCGACGAATGATTCAAATAGATACTGGTCTTGCAAACGTGGATAATTTAAACGCAGCGTCTCGGTTGGAACCTCTCGTGAGGCAAATAATATGAAACGCGAGGAAGCTTGAACAGTTGAACTCAGTGAATGATTGTTGTCTCGCTATTGGCTTGTAAGGCACCACCTCTGATTAAAGACCTATCAACACAAACAGACACAGATATTTATTTAATGGCCTCTTCAAATTCGCATTTCCTTGAGCGTCTTATTACCAAGGACTCATTTTCCCCCAACAAAAATGTATCTATAAACGAATTTCATCAATAAAACACAGTGCTAATCAGATCATTTTACGATAAACACGTCAGGTTATGTTTTTGGTGTAAAAATAATTCAGATTAATCCAATTACGGCGGAGAAATAATTAGTTTTGCGCGAACGTAAAATCCATCGAAAAAAAACACAAATCTTTCCGTTTGTTTGAGATAGAAAGGTCAACAGAAAATGGGCTTATGAAAACGGGTGTCCGTAGCTATTTATAAAAAGCGTGCGCTAAAATAACTCGCTGTATTTTATGGAAATTTAAATCTACAGTTTATCTGCGTCGTTTAAGATCGCATTGCTCACTGCTTTAATGAATTTTGATGACACCTCGTGTTTTTTTGTTTGAACAATCATGTTTAAAGATCGTCTTTATTGACTTTGGCAACTTTTACTGTGATCATACACACAAATGCAAAATATGTTGTTCCTGGCATGTATCTCTAGATAGCTTTGCGTCCCTTTGTCAATAGTGACACCTCAGTATGGAATATTATACATCCAGCTAGATTGTACGATGTTCCGTGTGAACAAATCACAAATGCGAATTTTCAGATCCGTCTGGTGTGAACACTTGACATGATTGATATTAAATTTTGACAGTGAGTAATTCCGACATTGAAATACAGCTAAGACTAAAGTGTAAGATTTCGTAAATACACTCATCATAAACTCATTTCCGCTCGCTAATAATACAAATGTAGACCAATTTGAAGAAAAAAATGTCGCTACGATTATTTGATCCGGGGTTTTAAAACAACATACATTGTGGAGTTCATATCGAAACTTGGTTCATGTTTATATTAAAAACGGAAGACTTTCCTTTGATCCGTACTTGAATTATTACCATTTACCAGTTAAGCTGTGGTTTAATTTCAATGGCGTAACTATACAGTAAAAAATATCGCTTGCCCTGTTAAGAAAAGCATTAATTGTCAAACACAATATACCTGAGATCTAACACGGCTTGCAATCATTACACAAAACACTCGGCTTTAAAAAAAAATATAATTAATAATTTCCGCATCGAACAAAAAATGTTAAAAAAAATTATTTACTTGATTAAACCACTAAACTCGTTTTAGCTCAAGGCAATGTTTTGTATATACTGAGCGAAAATTTAAACAGCGTAATGTGAAGCGATAGTAAATTTGCATATTTTGCAGTAATATATTCGCTTTGACATAAATTTAAAAACATTTTCAAAACATGCGTATGCCAGGCTTCGCCATATACAAGAATGGTAAATGTGGGAGGATTTCACTCGCCGCTCATTAATATAAAAGCAGATATAAAACTTTTCGACTAGCCTACCACTTAACAGATAGAGTTTAAAATATGCCTTTATGTTAATGTATGTAGATAAAATAAACTGATAATATCTTGGAGATAAACTATCTGCGAAGTGATAACAGCTGAGGACTGGCCATCATTCTTGTTTGATTATTTTGTGAATTAGTTGGGAGGGACTCGACATATTTTCCGGCAAAAAAAACAACAACACAAACGTCACAATGCAAATCATATTTCATAACGCAAATCATAGGACAAGCACACAAAGTGACGGTTTGAATGGAAATTGATTTAAAAATTCATACCAGCACAGATGATATCAGCGCATTTTATTAAAAAAACTGCTCTCATCAATCGGCAATCCTATTCAGTATGCAGTCTGGTTTGTGTCAGATGTCATGTTGTAGTGATTAGTTGTGTCGACGCGTGATTATAGCGGGCATGCTGTGGAATTATGTGCGCAATTTTTTGAGGGGGGGGGTGAGATTCTACTAATACTAAATCTGTGAGGATTTTTGCGTCTTTAATTTTGAAATCACGGTTATAGATTACAGGAATTCTAACATAATACAACAGGAAATACTAGAACATGATATACAATACATTAAAACAATGAAAAGACAATGGAACATTTCCATCACCGGATCATGACTGGATGGCAATTTTGGAATGCTATGTAGAGAGCGTAAAATTATATAGTACGTCTCTTCCTATCACTGTGTATGACTGGGACTACACCGAAATATAACATTTTAACCTTTGCTAAATTTCTACAACAAAATCGGAACAAAAACGAATGAATCGGAATAATAACACCAATCAATTATAGAATTTAAATATCTTATATCAACTTACCAAGATATAATCTCCCCAAGTAAACAAAAGATACGTTTTAGAGATGTCTTCTCAAAGATGTAGAAGGTTGTCTCCAAAAATATTTCTCCATGGAAATGTGCGTTATTAAGCAAGGAATCCTTGTCAAGAACTACTAGCTCGTGATAAGACAAACATCGAACAACATCACAACCACTCGAGACGTACGTGCATTCAGCATTTCAATATCAAAACGGAAGTACTGAATTTCACAACAGATATATAGCTTGCAAAAACAAACCAGCTGTTCGCATGTGACGTAATGCCCTCAAGTGCGGCAGAGAAGTTTGAAGCGAACATCTCAGGCCACACAAGCAGTCATGTTGTGAAAGCGGTGGGGTGTGGTGCCTAGCATGCTGAGAGCGGTGGGTGAAAGATCCCCCCCCCCCCCTCCCCTAACTCGGTGGGGTATCACTAAGGGTCTGTGCAGGTGTAGGTCAGTTCTGTAAAATGTCCGGCATATTTTTTATATATATTTCCTAATATTTTCGTAGGAAATTCTCTTAAACCTTGCGGGAATTTTTTGTCATACAGGGTGTATCAAAAAACCTGCAAACACTATAATTTGCATAATTCTGCTGCTAACTAGCATTTCAATGTCTGTACTACTTATTTTGCTCCTGGGATTTGAAAATACATTCTAATTAACCGCGTTGATAGAAATTAGAATAACACAAAGTTATTTTTAATGCAGAAAACTAATTATCAGTTCCACTGCGAATGGGTCAAGTTGGTCAACTATTGTGTTTACGCAACGCTTGGGATCAATTAGTTCTGAATCATGCAAATTCTAAAAACATTGTATTTCAGACAAAGGGTTTGCAGGGTTTTTTATACACCCTGTACAGTATACAGGGTATACAGGGGGGTGTATAAAAAAAAAGAGACCTTTAGAAATCAAGCATATTGTTAAAATTTGAATGCCTTTTCAATTGCACATACGCGGAACCGTAGTGCGTGAAATATTGATGGAGTGCATACAGGGTGTCCCCAAAAAAACGAAAACTATTGAAATCACTTATTGTTAAATTTGAATGCCCTACCAACCAGCTGGACGTAATGATGCGTAAAATATTGGACAAGGCGCATGTATTAGAATTTAGTTAGGAATATCTCCTGGCAAAGTACGCGATTTGAAACTCGTCACCAATGGGAACACGAATACACATCCGGGACTTAAATTTGCCCCCCAATAGTCGCGTTCCCTTTTTTTTACTGAATTAAGATTACAATGCCTCCTCTAGTGTTATTTATAATCTCTATGCACTTACTGCCAAAATGGCGCTTACTGCCAAAATGCGTGATTGCTCACGTTTCATGGCGTGGATTACACTTACTGCCAAAATGGCTGCCAACGCGTACTCATACTAAAAAATCGCGGACACAATTTTGGCTGAGTGATTCATCTGGTATTATCTATCATCTGTGGCCATACGTTATGAGCATATGCAGGAAGTTTTATCTTTGACCTACACAGGAAATTTTTATTTTTAGATTTTACTGGCAGGAAGAGAAACATGACTTTCTTGACCTGGTGTAGGTAGTAATAATAACAGTAGAAATCTGCGGATTAAGGCCCGTTGCTCGAAACGATTTCTCTCCAGTTTTCGGGTATCACCATATATGTATGACCACCGTATATGGTGGTCAACAGATAGTTATCAGTGCTAACTCAGATCATACAGTGCTATAGTTTTGCGTGGTTGTTTTGTTTCAAGGACAATCTCGGACTGAGTGGCCGGGAAATTTACGAATACTTAGTCTTGTATTTGCAAAACAAACAGACCGGCGTCATGTGGAAATGATTTGTTATTATAAATATTTTCACACAAGCGGTCCGTGTTTTCTACTTCAATCGTGTCCGGACCAGCAGCAGTGAGTTCTGTACAACATCAGATCACTTTAAGGTAGCCAACATTCAAGAACATCCACTACCTCTGCATGATCTAACCATGCTTAACTCAGCAGTGAGTTCTGTACAACATCTGTAGATCACTTTAAGGTAGCCCACATTCAAGAACATGTACTACCTCTGCATGATCTAACCATGCTTAACTCAGAAGTGAGTTCTGTACAGCATCTGCAGATCACTTTAAGACAGCCACACTCAAGAACGTGCACTACCTCTGCATGATTTAACCATGCTTAACTCAGCAGCGAGTTCTGTACAACATCTGCAGATCACTTTGAGACACCTCACACTCAAGAACATGTACTACCTCAGTGAGTTCTGTATAACATCAGGTCACTATAACGTAGCTCACAATCATTCACTAAAAGTTCACAATCAATTGCTATTTTAATACTCAGTCTAGACTTTACTAGTCCCAGTCCTATTTTGATTTCTTCGTCCATCTACCCTCTCCAAGTCTGTAAATGCCATAGTTGGTTTAGAGATGTACCAGGCCCTTATCTGTTGTGTTGCGGGAATTGGACTATCTCGGTGAGAAGAATCGTGACCACGCCTTTTATTCATCTCCATGGCAACACCACTATTGGCGATAGCTTTAGGCACCGGGGATTTTGGCCTGGTATACGAAGTTCCTTCGTCCTTGAATCTGCACGGACATGTCTGAACTATGTAGGTGTATATCTGCATGATTTTTTTCCGCAGCAGACGAAAGTAGATCGGGTTTCGTAGTATGTACACCATTGGATACGTAGCAGAGCGTAGCCAGATGAAGAAACGATACACAAAGGAATTAATTTTACTCTTAGCCGATGATGGCGAAATAATAATAGGCAGAATAAAAGCATTGCAGATCAAGTAGACGGTTATAATCAACAAAGTCGTGAAAGCTGACCTGGCGTAAGCATCTGCAGCCACATGATGAATGTTGTAGCTCACACTAACCTGACGACGGTTTCGTAAAGCTGACTTTAAAATATAATAGAAACACAGTAGAAGAATGAGGATAGGCACACCAATACATAGCACATTGAGTAGCAGTGTCACAATTTCTGACAGTGACGCGCTACCAAGATTGTCAAAAATTCCAGGTGATTTTTGACAGTAAACAAGCCAGGCTAGAAAACGACTCTCGGAAACCGGTTCCCATGCGAAGATTGTGCCCCAGGGGAGCGAAGCAATTAGCGACAGAAGCCATAATCCACATATAACAATCTTTGCTTTCTTTGCGGTGATTTTGTGATGAACTTTTTTCACCACGGCCAAGTACCGGTTCGCAGCTATCGCTGTCAAACTTAGAAAGCTTGTATTGAAAAAGAACACGTTTTCACAACCGATAAAAATACAAGTTTCCAAGGAAAACGAGGCCACGCCGTGCATAGCTAAGACATAGAACGAGATGATGAGACCTTGGCAACTGGCGAAGAACTCAGAAATAATGTGACTTATCACAAAAAAGTTTGTAGTCGTCCGCATCCGATGATCGCGTAGAAACAGGAATATCAGCAAGCCATTGGCGAGCAATGCAAATATTAATACCATTGTTATAATAATGCTTTCATACAGTGGAACAGCGATTGCCTCATTCCCGACTGTTCCGTTTGAAGTTGGGCCTGGGGTGCTATTATTCATTGACAGATTTGACATTGTTCGCTTTCCACGTGAAGGTGTTTTGACGCTGAACAATTTCACTACTTTTCTCGATTAAAACTTTACTTCAACTGGAAACTGTGTGAATGAGATTGCTGTTCTTCGATGCAATTTTTACTTTTGTTCTCCTTTTATCAAACGATACCGTAGAACTACGACAAGAACTGTTATTTATCTTTCTTCACTCGTAGTTGCAAGTGTTCTTCAATGTAACTATCGCTTTTGTCGTGTTTTCTCTGAAAGCACTCGATTCTTTAGATAAGATGAAAATCTTGTCGGAAAACTTCAATATGACCTGCCTTTCGTTCGTTGAAACGAAAATTGTGGTTCGAAGATTAGTTGAACAAATCACAAAATGCATTTAAAAATTCAGTTCGAAGTGCGAAGTTTTTCTTATCAAATCTTCCCTAATGGTTTCTTCTTTTTTAAACGAGAGACTGAGTTAGTTAAGGTCCGTAATCATGCCGCCACTTTCCAAATGTGTCTTAATTAATGCCTCTCTTCCGGCGCGTTGTAATACCTGTCTTTATATCGATACAATAACTGACTATAATTAATACAACGGGCAACAGCGAATTTTCTCTCAACTTTCAGATTTCTGATAAAATTTTGCAAATCAAAACTGCGTTACATATGTTTAGCGATCAAATATTTATCCTTCTGTGCCCCTTTCTTTCGAGTATCGATTATTGATCTTTTAATACAAGAAAATGTACTTAGCTTAAATTTCAGTTTCGCTCTTCTTGAATTCTTTCGACGAGTTTAGCTTAACTTGAATCGTTGTTCCACGATTCCAAAATCCAGTCATGTTCATCATCTAGTACAAAAAGATTCGATACAACTGGCTTGCACAGCACATTGAGTATAATCGAGTCCCATATCCTCTGTATTTATCAAATGGTGTCACAACATCTGCCTGCACTGAACTATACTCGTTCTTTCATTTATACATTTGCTTGCCAGAACCTAAAGTTAATTAACAAGGTGTCGAGGTTGAAGACATCAAACTCGCTATGAGCAGTGTTTAAATTAAACATCCAATATTTAGACTTGTGCTAACGAGAAGATCAAATGTTGAAATTAAAGTTCATAGCCTGTGCTTTGCCGGCGACGCGCAGCTGCGCTATTCGAAAGTTGTTTTCAAATTCAAATTTTCTCCCACTTTCCAGCTGTTACTTGAGTGGAATCACAAGGACCCCCTCGCCCTCAATATAATACAACGCCCGTAATCTGAATTTTAAATGTGCATTTTAATGTAATGTTTGCCAATCTTTCGCAGTTATACACGTGTTTAGTAAGCTGGTGAACCACCGACCTGGCAATAGAACCTGGATTGAATGAAACCTCGGTCCCAGACTCCCAGGGCTTCTCGACTGAGTATGTATTGCGTTTAGGCTTCTACAGATTATGCTACGAAAAGACTGAAATTGTGCTCTAAAAATGCTCAAAAGTTACTTGAAAATTTAATAAGTTGCTCAAAAGTTGCTCGACATTGAAAAAAAGTTGCTCATAAAATGTCAAACGTTTCTCGTAACGAACAAGACATTCATGACACTTCTCCCAGCATTAGTATTTCACCGCTTTTTCTTCCTCATAAATATTGTGGGGTCATAAACAAATCGCTTTTAATTGTTTAAATTAAAAGCGAAAATAATATTCAATTTTGTGTGTGATATACTGAAATACTATTGAATTCAATTAATATTCTTATTATAGTCTTATTCTGTGGTAGCAGGTCGCGAAAATGAGATAACTTATTTCTCAGCATTTTCCAGCAAACTTTTCTTCGGTTTGGAACTATGAATAATCTATAGACTCCATTTCTCATATGTATTTATAATAGTGTATTACTATTAAGCACATCAACTTTCGTGATACTTTCAAACTGCACCATTGTTGGGTTTGATAAACAGTAATAAAGTGAGCTTGCAAACTGGTCTGAGCTGCCAGCAATTAGCAAATTAATGTAACTTGCAGTTATGGGGGTTGTTATGGATGTTTGCAAATATGTCAAGCTGCTGACTGCCATAGGATATCCCAAACTGTAGAAGTAATGGTAAGCTAAAAAGTTTGTCAAATGGCCAAGGATAAGGAAAATATTTTGGAGCCTTGTCGTGCTATTCTTTCATATGACCAAGAAAACGAGCTTGAAGAGAATATGGATCAAGGGATTTAAGGCTATCAAGCATTTCTTTATCTTTCTATCAATAAAATTAGCAACAAGGTCTATATTGCCAGAAATTTCCAAAAGCTATGCATTTCCTGGAGGAGGTTGCTTGAAGTTGCTGATATCATAAAAAGTTGCTCCAAATGCAAAAAGTTGCCGGGCATAATCTGTAGAAGCCTAATTGCGTTCAAAAATGAAGCGACAAATGAGGCATGTATCGTAACGTACTTGGTAGCATTTTCTTTTGTGTCGAAGTTATTAGTTCCACTCTAGTGCTCGGGAAACATGGATATACTCTACAGGGTGTCCCCCAAAAAACGAAAACTATTGAAATCACTTATTGTTAAATTTGAATGCCCTACCAAACAGCTGGACGTAATGATGCGTAAAATATTGACAAGGTGCATGTATTAGAATTTACTTAGGAATATCTCCTGGTAAAGTGCGCGATTTTCTGCTCCTGGGAATTAAAAACAGCTTCTTAAACTGTTTCTTTATGCATAAAATTTACTTATGTCAATCATTTATGCACTCGTGGGAACCAACAGAGCGCTAAGGCATTCAAATTCTAACAATTAAATTGTTATTGGTGATTTCAATAGTTTTCGTTTTTTTTGGGACACCCTGCACATGCCAGTACGATATGGTAGGTTTTAAGGCGTCTGTCGCTCCGTTGACACAGTTTTTCGTCCCCCCCCCATCAGGATGAGGGGTTAGATGGGTTAGGTGCCTCCTGTTATTGTCGATTTCATGTCACTTTTCAACGCGCGGTTCCCAAGTTCGTTGCAAACTTGCCAATTACGTTTCCAAGTTCAAAAATTGGGCGTGAACTTCGCAACAAAATTCAGTTATTTTATTTTTATTTATTAATTTAATTTACCCAAAAACAGGAAGGGCGCACCCACAGAGCCGAAGCTCCAATAACGGGTTCCTCGCAAGTACATTTCAGTGTTTGAACTATTGTAAACAAATGTTCATAGTTCAAGTTGAAATTAACAATTCAATGGAAAGTTCTTGGTCCAGGGGGCTACCAAGAAGGTTTGTATTTGATTGAATTGGTTATTATTATTGAGTATGAACATTTGTTTACAAACGAAGTTCAAACATTAAAATGAACTTACGAACTTTGTTGCGAAGTTCGCGCTCAATTTCCGAACTTGGGAACCGCGCGTTGAAAAGTGACTTGAAATCGACAATGAGAGGGGTTAGGCTAACCGTACGAAGTCGAGGCCAAGAGTCGAGAGTCATTCAAGATCATTTTGCACTGTAGAAGATTGGGACTGAATGACACCATCTGCGCACGTAAACGATACTACAATCCACCGGTTCGGTGTGAACACTTTACATCTCGTAATTGGGTTCCGTGTGAAAATGTAGAACCAGACTTAGCGTTTATTCCCTTTTCACCCCCAATGGCCTCGTTTTTGTCTCAAATACTTACTCATGTTTTGTGCTTAGTATAGGGTTGAAAATTACTTTGTTGTTGAGCCTAAGAACAGCAAGAAACAAATTCGTGCAGGAAAACATGGGAATATAATCTTTATCTACCCCTGACATGCCAAAATAAGTTAACATGGAAACGAGGCCATTGCGTAAAAGAGAATCGGTAAGGGTCGTGTGAACTTAGATTTACTCGTCAAATTTATATTAGACATATAACTATGCTAGACTGAAACCAATATAAAATAGACAATATTTCGATGTGAAAACCATCTATAGTGCCGTCTCTTTGCTAAATGTGTCTAAATTTAGACGCATATAATTTATGTACGGGAAATGAGACAGACGAACAAAAAATGAACGTCCTCTGCCTGGTGCGTCTAAACGACTATGTTTAAATTTAGACACACTTCGCAAAGAGACGGCGCTGTAGATGGATGTCACATCGAAATATTTTATATTGGTTTCAGTCTGGTATAGTTTCAAAATTTTCATCTCGTAATATAATTTAAATATACGTAATACGGCCATTGCTGTCTCGAATTCATGAAGGTATGAAGGTAGGGGTATTGTCGTACTGGTAACGGACGCAGCCTACCAAGGCTTTACATGTGCGCCTGTGCTTGCCTCCACAGTAAAGCCGGTTACAGACGAGCAATTTTTCTATGACAAGTTTTATTTGCCAAGTGCACGTGTATATATGCAACAAATTTTATATGACAAGTTTTCATATGACAAGTTTTATTTACTGGTGTGAACGTGCTGGAAAGGTCGTGCAGCGACGCTGCCAAGAAATGTTTAATGAAATATCTTCATAGGAAATTTTCTTCCAGCAGCAAATTTTTATCATCTTGTATATTGAAATACAATTTGCTTGAATGTTGTGTTAAAATTCCAGATGTGTTTTTGAAGTGAAATTCATAGTGTCATGTGTGGACATTGATGGTAGTTGTAGTATAGTACAGTACACTATCTGAAACCTAGCTATGCAGAAAGACTTCATACATTTGGTTTGCACAGGAAATTTTAATTATTGGATTTTGCTGCCAGGAAAAAAACCTTTTTTGTAGGCCTGCCGGGAGAAAACCCACAATGTTGGACTCGTTTGAAGAGGTAACCGTAAGTCTTCGTTTGTGACGATGTCGTGGACTGCAAACATGCTATTAACCACAACTCTACATCTTGTAGCAAGTCTTGCCAAAAGCCGTCAACAAGTTGTGTTCGCACTGCTTGTCCCAAGTTGTCAACAAGTATGGAACAACTTGTTAACAACGTTGATGTTATCAGACTTATACAGTCATGATATAACAATATTGTTACAACCTTGTGTCGCCCATCTTGTAACATTCTTGTGATATCATGACTGTATCAGATTTGTTAGAACAACCTTGTAACAAGTCTGATAATGCCATCTGATAACAACAACTTGTTTGCAGACCTGTAACAACTTGTACGTTTTTACCTGGGGGAAATCTCGCGCTACAGTCTTAACCCAAAGGTTTCCTCCTGCAGTGTGAGCGAGGCCCTGCAGAGGAGATAAGATGTGCATCGTGTCCGGAAGATACGAAAACAACAAATGTACCAATTCTCACAAACCATTTTAATTTTGTACACATGCAACGCAACTTGCGATTAAATAATCCTTTTAACATAAATATTGTTCAACGGATTATCAACACTTCCTCTTTCCATCCTCTGCAAATTATGGCCAACCAAAATTTCGTCCAATTAACTGGTACAATTCTTCATTAAATGGCCTAAAATAATCTCGAAGCAACGTTTCAGTCTTGGTGGAGACAAAGACATGCGCTCGTCCTTTCGAGCTACCTAGACACCTTAAATCAGTCTCATTTACATTCGTGTTGGGCTGACTAATTTGTTTGTCAAAACAGTAGAATCCCTTTGTTTTGTTATACACAAAATGTTCCCGTTTAATGAAAGAAGGAAGATTTAAAAATTTCTCCACTCTTTTTATCTCGTCATACGGTTGCTTAATGAGATGTTCACCACTCACTACATGTATCTCGTGAGGCTTAAAATATCTCTGCCATCTTTTCAAGTGTTTGGAATAAACGCCAATTTTTATTGCTCCCCATTGAGAATTTACGTACGGTTCTCCATCGATACTTTGTTTCAAGGCTAACTCTTCAAAAGTTCGTTTAAAAACACCTATTTCGTTTCCTTGTGTTTGTGTAAAATCTGAAATAGCTCGTCTAGTCGGATCGCGAACAATGACAAGTAATTTTAGCGTTCTGTTCAAACGCTCCGTAGAGTATTGAAATATATCTTCTGTCACACCACTTGTTACAAAGTAACTTGGAGTTTTTTCCATTATAAGTTCATTCTCGTAACACAATGGCATTCTCTCTCGATACCATTCTATTCCTTTGTTGTAATATCGATCAAAATAGTGAATTTCAGGGCCACTACTACAGACTTGTGGATGCAGTTTAATCATTTCTAGTAGTGCTCTCGTTCCACCTTTCTTAACACCGATAATTATGAGATTTGGAAAACGCTTCATTGGCGTTCCTTTCTTCTCAAAAATCTTGGGCAAATTTTCATCAGAACCCGTAGCTAATCCGTCCACAATTCGTTCAATGCTTCGTTCATCATTTCTTAAATATTTCTGGTCTAATTCATCTTCGTTTCTAAACTTTCGTCGTACTTTATCAGGCGAAGGCTTTGGCAGCGTGTATAGCTCTAATTCTTCCCACGAGTTAAGTACTGTACGATTTAAACGCTCGTTCACTTTCGTTTCTGAGTTAATAACAACTCTCTTGGGATTTCTAGATGATAAATTGTCTTGTATAATATGTAGATTTTCAATGTGGCTTGTTTTTGAGTTTAATTGATGTTGACTTATCGATAAGAAACCAGTTAAAGCAACGACACCGTTGACAGCCACACTTGGTCCACCAGTGGCAGTGAAGTCCTTAAAAACATTTGGACCAAAATTGTGATATATTATCATCCCAAAAATACCACAAAAACACAAACAGCCAAATATTCGTCGTATATTCATGCTGCATTCATTTGTTATTTGGTACAATCCACACTGGATATTATTCAATGTATAAAATGTCCCCAATTTCGATTTGATCCTGTTTCGAAAACCCTTCGGTCCATTAAGTAAATAGCTTGTAGTAATATCTCAAGTTCAAGTTAAGATTATAGCATATTCCAAGGGTTTTTGTAGCAAGTACACTTTACAGATACCAAATGTAAACATGGCAGAATACATTTACTGATTTAGTACTGCTGTATGACCGCTTGATTATACGTGTATTAACGTATTGTGTAAAAGCTTTCAATCTAGGCCTTTTGAAATGTAAATTTTCTATGAGTATATGCAAATTTACAAAACAAAATATTGACCACAACAGCCAAAAATTATAGCCAAACCGTTGTTAATTTCTGTGTTATATTTTCCAATGCAAATTGCGTATAAACAGTTTGTTACATTATGTACATAAACTGTTAGTTCGAAAAAAGACTTTTCAAAAACAATTTGCAGCAAAATTCATTATAATACAAAGCGTGTCAACGAAGTGTATAAATTATTCTTTATAATGGGCATCATTGCAAACCAGTATTGACATACAAAACAACGCTATATTTAAGGTGTACTGAAATTCACTCATCACCACAAACTCTAACTAAACATAATGGAAGACAGATGAAATGTTAAACTGCATCGCTATGTCATGGTATTTATATATCTGTTTATAGAGAGGGAGAACTATTCAATTTGATTTAATTGTGATTGTAGTCGATGCATTTCGCCGAAGGGATTCACGTTTCCGTGCGCGCATTTCCGTTTGGCCATCAAAGGCTCTTAAACTGCCATCTTGAAGTCTAGTCATCTTCTGTTTAGGGCATATAGAGCCATTTTGAACGAGGAGGGCCCTTTGCCTGAAGGTTAGAAGACCTAGGGCGAAGGGCATTTGCTCGAAACATCGAAGTTTCTTATTTTTCAACGACACAAAGTGTATCCTGCATTGACAGCCTTATAATGCCTATAGGCTATAATCATTCGGTTCACTGGGGCGTATCCTCTAGTAATGCCCCTCTCAAACAACGTCCCCTCTCTAATAAGCCCCCTCTCTATTAAGCTCCTCCTTTTCTAGAAGAAGAAATCTGTAAAGCTCCCTCTATTAATCCAATGCAACCCCGCTCAGCTCTATAAAGCTCATTGGGTATTACTCCAGTTATATATAGAGATAGCTTGATTTTATCACTCCAGCTATTTACATAGAGCTCACCGAACACTGGATATACTACTCCAGTCTCTCTGGCGGTCAGTGTCAAAAACGACGCTTTAGCCTGCGAGCGGGCGGAGGTGGGCGGCGTGATCAGAGCTTCTCACTTGAATAATGGCGAACGAAATTACAGATGAAAATAATCAGAATTTATCTGAGGAAGAAACGGAAGAAATAAACGGCAATGAAGATGGAGAGGAAGATGAATCCCAGTTTGATGATCCTGAAGGGTTTGTGGACACGATCAGCGATAAGGGTTAGTTTAAATAAAATATTATGGCTGGTTGACTGACTGCAATAAAGCCACGTGTAATGTAGATTTGTGCTAGAAAATGGTTGAAAGTTAGCTTAAAGTGCCGTTGATGTCGTTGTGTTTGAAATTAGTGGTGTTTTATATCGAAACTGGTGTAATATGTGTGTTCTGGGTTGAAAAATAGTTGTAATAGCTGGCAGGTTAATTAATAGTTCATTGCAAAATTTTGATCAAGTTAAAACATGTGAGAGTATTCTTAATTTTGTAATTAATGTATTCAGTTGGTATTTATGGGGCTATATGTAAGTCGGCGTTGTTGCAGAGAGGTAGGATGGCTCGCATTTAGCGTATGGTCATTTTGTTGCTGGTAATCGATTGTTCCAGGGTGGTCGCCCCTAACTGGAAAGTTTGAAAATTGCACAGCCAAGGTTTCGAAAATTTAATTGTGAATATATAGAAAGCGTCAAAATTGTGCGCCCGATATCTCGGTTGTGCGATACAAACTTTCCACACTGGGGTGGTGCTAGCTCTGAATCTATGATTATGAAATGTTCCAGTAACTGAATTGTTTGCATCCAAGAATGACCAGTAGCAGAAAAATGGTGTGAAACCACCATTGTTTTTGTCTACAAGCTTTCGTTGGTAGGGATACAACTTCCTAAAAATATATAAGGACAAATTTCGACGTTTCGAGTGAAGGCCCCCCGTCTGGAGTTACTAGCGGGGGTCGGGAAAATTACATGAGCCTTTATACTAAGAATATAAAAGCGATCACATGACAAAAAAACCAATCAGATGGATTAAGTTGAAACAAAGTATAAACAAAAAATGTAAATCACATTGGGTCATTCCAGAAAAGATCCACACTCCCCCACGGAGGAAATTTCTGCCGTACGGAGGGAAGAAAAAATTGTTTCTGATAATAGTAAATGTATTAGGACATCCGGGGGTAGGGGGGTTATTAAAACTTCCAATTTCCTCCGTGGGGGTGGTATGGATGTTTTCTGGAATAACCCATTACAGAATATATTAATACAATTATACAGAAAACACAGTAAATACAGCAAAATATATGAAACATTTATGGTATAAGGTATCCTTGGATGAGTGTGGTAAACTTTAGCATGCTTTAAGTTTCATATTTTTCACTTCAGATTTACTTGGCGATGTCCTAGCAAAACGTCCTTCACCTGAAGATGGCATCGACTCGTTAATTGTTGTTGATAATGTTCCAGTCGTTGGGCAAGATAGGCTGGACAAGTTGAAGAACGTTATAAAAAAAGTATTTTCTAAGTTTGGAAAAATTGTGAATGAATTTTATCCCGAAGAGAATGGAAAAACAAAAGGGTTAGGATCTTTTATTGAAATAATTTTGATTGCTGGGTTTCACTAAGCGCTATCGTGCAGAGATAGAGGTTGACCTGCAGTTATCAGAGCAAGAAAATAATGTTAATACTTCCCATGACTTGTAGTAGTCTTGTATTTGGTGAGAGATGAGTAAAACAGAGAGATGTTGTTTAATTTTTTGTCAACATTTTGAAAGTTGATCACTATCTTCAAGCCTAGGCGTAAAAAAAAATACCTGTGGTTCCGGTTCTCGACCAACCCTATTTTTTTTGCCGACCCTATTATTTTTTCAAAGCGATTGACCATGCGACCCTATTTTCTCTAGGGGGTTGTGGGCTGCTGCCAAAATGGCATCTGTTGTCAAACTAATTATTAAAAAAAAAACATGAAAAAAATATTTAAAGTGCTCATGAAACGAAATTTTCACCTCATTTTTTATTGTTTTGCTAAAAAGCACTGCTGGAGCGATGGGGATTGGCATTTACAGTTTCTTCATATTTCATCTCGTTCTCAAGTTATCGCACTTTCTAAATTTTGAGTTGTGACATCACTAGTTTGACTTGAGATAACGGCAATAACAAGAAAGTCTGATATCTTAGTGAGTATTTACTAAAATTCAATGAAACTTGGTACACTTAGTGGGTGCACCATTTGAATATTTTTGGCAGTTCATGTGGTTGTCATAGCAACACACTAGTCCCCAGTCTCGTCTCTTCCTTTTCACAAATTTCCTCCTGTAGA